ATTTCTGTCCTCGGGATAAGCTGCTTCGTCACCGTCTTCCGGATCAGGTGCGAAGTTGGGCCCTATGCGTTCTGCTTCGTTGGTGTTGACTTGGGCGGGTGTAACGAAATCAGTGTCGACGAGGTCATAATAGACTTCGGCGTTGATACTTTCGCGAGGATTTTCGTCGTCCATGGGGATATCAACCGAACATTAGGGTAGAGGTCCGGCGTCTTCCGAGGCTCCGTCCACATTTTGCTCGTCCCAGTCAGCTTCGTCTGCTGCCGAGGCGAAGGCTCGGTCACCGCGAAAGCCACTTGTGGGGTCTCGATGTTCATCCAGATTGGCAAGGTACGTCATAAGTGGGAGCCGCTCGTAGAAAATGACATCACGTGCTGCTACTGTTTCTTTTGAGTGGATGTCGAAAATCTTCCATGCGTTGTAGTTCTTTTCGATGCCCAGGTGTAGTCCCCACTGTGCGCGTTGAGAGAATCGGCCGGCTCGTGCAGCTGGGGGTCGGTACTGTACCATGCAGCCGAAAACTCGTAACATTTTTGTGCTGCCCAATTTTCCTGTCCACAGCAGATGCGGTGATGCGTTGTTCGGGAGTGACGACGAAGAGAGCAAGTTGTGCAGCATGACAGCGTGGTCCATCGCCTCAGGCCACTGGTGGGTGGGTAGCCGCATGCCACGTAGCAGTTTGCGCATGGTGTTCTGCAGAGTCCTGTTCATTCTTTCTGCCACGCCTTGCTGTTGATGGGCGTAGGGGAGGGAGATGAGCCTTTTGATGCCTCGTTCTGCCAGGTACTGCTTGAATCGCTGTGACTGATATTCTCCTCCCCCGTCTGTTTGGAGACTTTTCAGTTTCACTCCTGACTCTCGTTCTGCCGCTGGGAGCCACGCGACGAAGGCTTCGAAGGCCATGTCTCGGCTAGGAAGGTTGAAGTGCCAGACGTAGCGTGTGGCGGCGTCTATGAACGTGATGATGTAGCTGTATGTTCCTTGTCCGGGTTCACGGTTGTACAGGATGTCGCTGTACACCTTCTTCAGTGGTGTGTATGCTGGTGCGCTCGGATTGTGGTGAGAGACGAACGGCTGATGTGGTAAGTCGGCTTCGGGGCAAGTAAAGCATGTTCCTCTGACTCGTTGAAGTTCTCTCCCGTCGTGCAGTAGTAGTGAATCTTTGTCGAGCACTCCTGCTCTTATCGTGTTGTTTAACGGTGTGTTGCTTGGGTGTCCCATCCTTGCATGCTAGATTTCTTCGCTGTTGCGGTGTCCGGGTGAGCGCCGATACATGTCGGAGTTGGAGTAGAAGCCGGCAGTGAAGTTGGCACTTCGATGGACTTCTCGTGGAGTTGGCTTTAGTTGTTGTGCAGGTGTCGGTGGCGAATTGTCGACGAGGACGGGTGTCGCTGAGGGGCCAGCGATCGGTGTCGAAGTTGTCGCTGCTGCTACCATTGTCTCTGCTGCTGCCGATGTTGTTTCTGCTGCTGCGTTGTTGTCTCTGCTGCTGTCGATGTTGTCTCTGCTGCTGCCGATGTTGTCTCTGCTGCTGCCGATGTTGTCTCTGCTGCTGCCGATTGTTGAATCGTTGCTAATGCCCTTGTTCGTTCTGCTTCAGGTATCGTGTGGGAATACCTCAAGCTGCCGGGGCTGAAGTCTGGATCAAGGTCTGGTGGATGTGTCCAAGAGGTGAAGGTTACGATGCCATCACTGTCGGCGGTGCCAAGATCTGGAACGAAGTCGAGGACGAAGACGTTGTTCTTCAATACTGCTTTCCCGATGTAAAGTCCGCCTCTCCCGTGGTACAGTTTGAATTCTTGAGTGGTGTTGTCTGCCTCGAGATGGATTCCTTTTGCCATTAGTAAGTTGTAGCCGAGTCCTTCTGCTATAAAAAGCTTTTGACATTTGCAGTATGACATTTGTCTCTCGTGACTGAAGTTGAACTACGCCTTGTCGTCATATCCGCAGGTTCTGGTTGTTGGCGACGGTGATGACGACTTCGCGTTGAAGTTGGTATTCCCGTTGAACGAAGCGACCCGAAGAACACATGTGCTGTCCGCAGCAACTGTCCAAGAACCAGGTGTCTTTCCCAAACGGTTCGCTTTGGGCGATGGCTGCGTACGTCGGGTTCGGCTGAAGTGACTCGCGGCGAGGAGTGCAGTTGTCGAGTTGTTCTTCTGGTGAGTAGTGCGGCGGTGACTCGGTGACGCAGGAGTCGGTCAGTCTTGCCATGCAACTGACGATGTTTCTTGTTCCTTGAGTAGGTTGTCCCGTCGATGTTGTTGAAGCTTGTACTTGAGTGGTGGGATTCGCTTGCGTTGAGGCGACTTGACTGCTTGAAGGTCGAAGCTGCCGCTGCGTTGGTGTTGTCTGTCGTCGATTCGGGCAGTGTGTGCGGGGGTGACCTGACGTCTTGCAGAGGTGACAAAACGGAGGTACGGGTTGTGGTCCTTAATGCTTGTTCTGCCGGTGATTGTTGTTGTTGTAGCGCCGCTGAGTGTGGAAAGCGAACTCAGGTATTGACGTCTTCCTTTTGTGTCGTTCTTCTTGCAGGTCCATGTCTTGCTGCTCGGCGTGAATCTCGGCGCAGAGTGCTGCTTCGGAGATTTTCCCGTGGGCTCGGAGAATGGCTCGAGTGGAGCGCCATTGAGGACCAAGACCCCCGATGATGACTGTGACGAAGGCGTTTTCGGATATCGACCCTCCGCATCGAAGGAGTTTGTCTCGCAACTCGCGAAAGCGACTGATATACGCCATTCCTTTTTCGCCCGGTTTCATTTCCACTGTTGTCAATTGCGCCATTAACCTACTTTGATTGACGTTCTCCGTTGCTTGATACAGGTTCTTCAGGTGGTTGTACGCGAGCTCGGCGGAGTTGCCGTATCCCCGGTAAGACCGAATGTTCTGCTGCTGATTCGGAGTGATGTTCCTCAGTAGAAATAATTGTGTATGCCATCATTGACTGATAAGTGTACTGCTGCTTGTCGTACTGCGTGCCGTTTGTTGGGTATGGCAGGGACCCGTCGAAGAAGCCAAGAATTTGCGCGCCTTCCATCATTAGCTCGAACTCAAACGACCAGGTAAAAAAGGCTTTCCCGTCGAATGGTCTTGATGTTTGCAGCTTTAAAACGTGCGCGAACTGCGACTGAGCTTGAAGTGCGTCTAAGTTCTTCTCTTGTCCAGGTGAAGGCTGCTGATACGGCATGAAGCTGATGGAGCCGCGCTGGGGCTCGTACGGAGCAAAGGTAGGCTGATGCTGTTGATTTTCGTGCGCGTACGATGAGCCGTCGAGACTCATGGGTGTCACGTCGTTGTTGTTGTTGCTGTTGTTTGACTGTGAAGGTGCTGATTGCTGGTGCTGCTCGTAGAAGGACATGAAGGAGAAGAATTTCTCCATCATGCTCTGGTCGAAGCCTGCAGGTTGATTCGCTGGGGTTTCATTTGATCCTGCTGCTGGTCTTGTTGTTGTACCCTTCTTTGTCTGTAGGCCAAAGGCAGGAGGTGGATTAGGAGTAGTGCCTGGAGAACCATTAGAGGAGCTCCTTTCCTTCTGTGTTGCCATGTCTTCTGATCTTGTAGGTGTCTTGATAGTAGTTGAGTTTGCCCTGTTGGCTCTCATACCATGTTGGGCTGAGAAAAAGCCCTTAGGATCTTTGCAGGACTAAACTCCTGGTAGGAATGATGTAATAGCGGAAGCGTTTTAATGAAGATTGTTGAACCACCTTGCGCTAGTATGTGAGGGCAAAGTAGATTGATTAGAAACAAGGAGATACAAGGTTTTCATAAGAGTACAAGGGATACGAAGGGATTTAACTAATAACTGTTTTACTATTGATGTTGCGATTCGATACAGTGACGATCCGGGCAACCGCTCAATAGCGAGTCGGTTGTGTGTCCTTGCTGTTGCACTGTATTTGTCAGGTCAAAGGTCGCTGACCTCCGATGGTCATGTCAACCTCCGATGGTTGACTCTGCCGTTGTTGCGTTGTTGCTTGCCTCGTTCACGACTCAGTGTTTCGACACGACAGAGGCGCTTAAATCATTTGTTTCCAACAATAGCAAACCCTAATTTGGGCTATACTCGCTATAGAGTACCCCACTGCAGGCTAGACAAACATCACATTCTGACAACTACCCCACTGTAGTAGCCTACAAAACCTAAACATCAAATGTAGTTCAACAGTGCGATTCTCGCTCGCTCGCTCAATTGCACTCGTAACAAACGTCCAACACTGAGAAAACTCTAACCACAAATTCCTTGAAACAAAAACAATGCCATAACCCACGTACGAAAATCAAAATCCTTGCAGCTATTGAGATTTGTCTGGGAGATTTACGTACCGTACAATGAATTTAAATCTTGACTCCTCTAAAGAATCCCAGGGCTTCATCCCATCCCAGCAATTTTCTGGCCTAATACCGTTAACAATATGGTGGCATTAGTAGCTACAAACAACTGCACCACCAGCAGTGCCAGCACCACTGCCTGCCACTGCTGTGCCACTGCGATTCCCTGCCTCCATTGTCCTAGATTTGCAGCTTGTGCCCAGTGAGCAACACCAGTGAGACATACCACCACCACCATAGCACACTACACGCTAGCAGCAGCACCATCAGTGCCCAGCAGCATTCCACCACAGCAATCTCATCCTCCCCTCCCCCCTGCCCTCTTCACATAGCGTGGATTCCCCACCCCACATCAATCCACACCAATGTAAACCGTGCCAACATCTCGCCAACATCTCGCCAGCATGCATGCAAGACCAGCACCAATAATTCACACCATTACCCGAATCATCATGCCCTTATCATCACCTCATCCCCTCCTTAGGTCTGCTGCTGCTGCCACTGCACATTCTGCACCTGCTGTTGCTGTTGCTGCACTGCTACTTCTGCTGCTGCTAAACCCTACAGCTAGCATGACCCGTCCGCTGCCTTCCTAGCAGCCCGTGCCCTTTCCTTTCCATGCCCTTCCTGTCCAGAGGAGATCATGTTCCAGCATGCAATGTGGTGCATCCCTAGAACCTTCCCTTGTACTTAAACATATGCGCCTCATCCTCCTCAACACTGTACCCCTCCACCAGCTTCCTGTTCACACTGTACATCTTCTCCCTCACATTCTTCGGCTTCTTCTCCTCATCAAACTCCTCCCGCAGCACCCCGCTCTTGGCCCGCCTCCGATGCTCCAGCGGCCCATTCTTGATGCGCGCTCCCTTCCTCTCCCAGTAGAAGGAGCGGTCCACCACACAGTAGAGCGCCAGGGCGGGGTAGTCCTGCCCCAGTGCAGCCAGTGTGGCGGCGTCACACGCCTTGCTGGATGGGAAGAAGAGGAACCGCAAATTCGGAGCGCCGATGGACGGCGGCTTGGCACAGACCTTCTCTTTCTTCTTCTTATGCGCAGACTTCCGGCCTCTTCCCCCTCTTCCACCATAAGCCCTCCCACCATAACCCCTTCCACCATATACATAATCATCCTCATCCTCCTCATCCTCATCCTCATAAGAGTCGTCCTCTTCCTCGTTATCCTCATCAGAATCACAACCGAAGCCATCTTCATCCAAATCATCATCATACTCCCCATCATCGGTGAACGCCTTGTGATTCTCCACCGTCGCCTCCCACTCCTTAGTATGCTCCCCCTTCGCATGCATGACAATCCCAAGGCTGCGAAGCTTCCTCCACACCAAACCCACCTCCTCGATCGGAATCCCATGCCTCACTATAAGCACCTCCACGCTTCCCGCTATAGAGCGCAGCCATTTGGTCCAGGAAAATCCGGAACTGCCGCGGGGAGCGTGCTGGAAGGAAGGCGGCAGCTGGTAGGACATTCTAGGACGGTTGCTGCCCTTGTCGGTTGCAGGGCCGTTGAGGTACACGGCTCGCGCAGACGCGATGCGGAAGGAGGAGATGACAAGCCGCTCCTGGCCATACAGTGAGAGGTGGTCGAGAGCGAGAGGGGCGGTGCTCTTGCAGGAGAGCACGAGCCACTTGGCCATCACCGATAGAGTCTTGAGAGCCTTGGAGACGGTGAGATTGAGCTTGAGCTCATTGCTGGCGAAGCGGAAGCGGAGGAGGCGGGCATTGGGGAATGAGAATTTCATCTCGTGGGTGCCAAAGAGTGGTCCGCGCGAGAGGTGCCAGTGCTGGTAGAGCGTGAATTCTTGCAGCTGCGGTGTGATGGAATCCAGATACTTAAAGTTGATGTGGTTGGTATCCACCTGTTTGAGAGTCAGACAGCGGATTGATTTCAGCCACGCAGCATTCGCACAGCTCTTATCGAGGTTCCACATGCCCCGGCCGAGCTTGAGCTGCTGCAGGTGCGAGCAGTTTTTCAGGAAGCTGAGAGTCCAGTCTTTATACTCCTGCTCGTCATCGCAATCTACAAAGCCTCGCAGCTTGATGCTGAAGGAGGAGAGGGAGGGGCTGCAGCGAGCGATCAAGGGGCGGAGGGAGCGGAGCTGCTGCACGTCTGTGAAGATGAGGTCGAGGGAGGTGATGTGCTGGCCGTGGCGGGTGAGGAAGTAGCGAATGGTTTTCTGCCAATGCTTGTCCTCGTACACGAGGGAGATGGGGTGTTGTTCCTGCACCAATTGAAGACGGGACATATTGGATTCTGAGAACTTGATTCGCGAGTTTTTAGATCATTTCGTGATGTCTGATGGATGTTCAAGATGCTCATGCATGTTGGGCAGAAGCATGCATGCATGGAGAAAGTAAAAGCTTTTCGAGTTACGTTTAAGAATTCTAAAAAGGTTTCACTCTGGATCATGGACAGCTGCGAGAAACAGAGAGGAAATCAAACAACTTAAGGAAAAGCATGAGCTGATTGAAGAAATACGAGGATGAGAGCAGAGGCCTCACAGCGAAGGAGAGGACATGGTGGAGAAGCTTCTTGCTGACGAGAGCGCAGCAGAGCAGAGGCCATGAGGAGCCATAGCCTCTGACATTGAAGTCATACTGGTCGCTGGCGGAGGAATCACGGTGAGTGAACATTTTCTTGAACTCCGATTGGTCGTCCGGTTCCTTGTTCGAAGAGTCACGTCTTGGGTTTTTAAATCGCGTGGCGACTTCGGGTTTGTCCACCTGCGGGGGTGGCTGCAGCAGGCGTTGGAAAATTTGGTGCCAGAAGCGAGCTGGCAGCATGTTGACCACATCACGGCGGGTGGTGGCTGAAGGGTGAAACGATGGGGTGTGAAAGTCGGGGAGTAAAAGGAGCTGAATCAGAAAATAACAAGAACGTGTTGTGTAGCCTTAAAAGGTGAAATGCGTGTGGAAGGACAGACAGGAACTGAAAGTGACAGGCATGATGCTAGAATGAAAGGGAGAATGGGACTCGGAGTCACGCTCGCAGCAGGGAGCACGGAGCAACGGGGTGACAAATGTGAGAAAGAATGTCAGAATTATACGCGAAAACTGAGAGAACGAAGAAAATAGAAGAGAAATTCGACTGCATCGAAGAGGAGCGAAGCCACGGGGACAATAAGCGGCAGCAAATGGGGTTCGTCCGAGGAAATAGGATGGAAACGCAGTGTTATGGGTACAGTTCTTGCTGCTCGCCTAATGTTCACCTTGGTACCAATCTGTAGCTGGACAAGAGCTCGTCTTAAACGCACCAGGTGATATTAATACTCGTTACTTCGCGAGCACGAACCTGGATATGCCATTTTTATGACTGCTTAAATTTTCGTCCGTAGAGAGCGAATGGCGAATGAGAGCACCAATGGGATCACAGTAGCTGGTAGCCGTTGAAACGCACTATGTTGTGTCACATCAGTCAAGCCAACTTGAAGTGGTGGGAACGGAAGCGCCGAGAAAACGGAAGGAATACAGGCATAAGGGTGTGAGTGATGTTCCCAAGGAATGCTGCTGAGCTGACAGACAGTGCTGCCGCCGCACGTGTGAAATTTCAAATTTCAAACCAAGCTGGAATCTGAAATTTGCTGGTGATGCAAAGGCTGGGCTCAGAAATGTGCGGTAGTGTTTAGACGCCGGAAAGGTATGAAATTCGGGTCATTTTGGACGTGTCTTACGGGTTAGACTCTCGACACGAGGAATGTGTGTGTGCTTCTTCCGCAAAATTGTATCCGTTGACGGGATGAACTGGATGGGGTCTTTTCGTTCTGGATACTTCGCTACAAGCATGTCCCTGCACTGAACATGACATTACATTAAACAAATAGGTCTGAGGGCTCAGTGGGCTCTGTATAACAGCACAGGTCCCTTCAAGCTGAAAAAGCAGTAGGCAAGGCTTATCAACGTGCAGGCTCAACCACCCTCATTCTCCATGGGAGGTTTCCAGTCCAGACTGACTAGGAAAAGAGGAGTATTGGGATTGGATTGACCAGAATTTAGGGCACGGCAACTCGCAAGCGTTGAGTTGACTCACAAGCATCGCACACGCATCGCACACGCATCGCACAGGCGTCGCACACGGATCGCACAGGCATCACACGGCGATTGTTGGAGAAGGAAGCCGCTGCTCGTTGCAGGGCACGAGCTGCTGCCGCCATGGCGCGAGGGCGAGCAGAGGGCGAGCAGAGGGCGCACGGGGAGGGGCAGCGGTACGCAGGGCAGGAAGGGGTGGAGTAGGGAGGGGAGCGGTAGAGGCAGGCAGGGTAGCGACGGACGGGGTAGCGGCCAGCTGGGAAGCGGCAGGGGGAATGGCAGGAGGAGCGGCGGGAGAGGTGGTATCGCCGTTGGAGGTGTCACCTGGGGGAGGCGGCATCTTGTCGTGGTGCATGCACGTACTGCATCTCCTAGAACCTTCCCTTGTATTTGAACATATGCGCCTCGTCCTCCTCAACACTGTACCCCTCCACCAGCTCCCGATTCACACTGTACATCTTCTCCCTCACGTTCTTCGGCTGCTTCTTGTCATCAAACCTATCCCGCAGCACCCCGCTCTTCGCCTGCCGCACATGTTTGAGCGGCGCATTGCTCACCCTCTCGCCCTTCCTCTCCCAATACAAGGAGCGGTCCACCACACAGTAGAGCGCCAGGGCGGGGTAGTCCTGCCGCAGTGCAGCCAGTGTGGCGGCGTCACACACCTTGCGAGAGGGGAAGAAGAGGAACCGCAGATTCGGAGCGCGGATGGAAGGCGGCTTGGCAGGGGCCTTCTTCTTGCGACTCCCTCCCCTCCTTCCACCATAACCCCTCCCCTCATACTCATCATCCTCATCATCAAAACCATCCTCATCCCGTCATCATCATCATCATCATCATCATCATCATCATCATCATCATCATCATCATCATCATCATCATCATCATCATCATCATCATCATCATCATCATCATCATCATCATCATCATCATCATCATCATCCTCTTCGTCATCATCACCATAACACCCACCAAAGCCACCGTCCTCATCTAAATCATCATCAAACTCCCCGTCCTCCATGAACGCCCTGTAATTCTCCACCGTCGCCTCCCACTCTTTGTTGTGCGGCCCCTCCGCATGCATGACAATCCCAAGGCTGCGCAAGTTCCTCCACTCCACACCCACCTCGTGGATCGGAATCCCGTGCCTCACTACAAGCACCTCCACGTTTTGCGCTATAGTGCGCAGCCATTTGGTCCAGAGAAGTTAGAGATGCCGTATGGAACGTGCTGCCAGGAGAGAGGCAGCTGGTAGGAGATCCCAGGGCAGCTGGATTCCTCATCACTGGCCGGCCCGTTGAGGTAGGCGGCTCGCACGGATGCAACGCGGAGGGAGGAGATTACAAGCCGCTCTTGGCCGTACAGTGAGAGGTGGTCGAGAACGAGAGGAGCGGTGCTCTTGCAGGAGAGGACCAACCACTTGGCCATCACTGAGAGAGTCTTGAGCGCTGAAGAGACAGAGAGGGTGAGCTTGAACTCGTTGCTGGCGAAGCGGAAGCGGAGGAGGCGGGCGTTGGGGAAGGAGAAGGTCATAGCATGGGAGCCAAAGACGGGTCCGCGGGAGAGGTGCCAGTGCTGGTAGAGCGTGAACTCGTGCAGCTGCGGTGTGATGGAATCAAGAAAATCGAAGTTCACGTGGCTGGTATCCACCTGCTTCAGGGTCAGGCAACGGATCGACTTCAGCCACGCGGCATTCGCACAGCTCTTATCAAGATTCCACATGCCCCGGCCCAGCTTCAGGCGCTGCAGGTGCGAGCAGTTTTTGAGGAAGCTGAGAGTCCAGTCCTTGTACTCGTGCTCGTCAAACATGGTTACAAAGCCCCGCAGCTTCAGTCTGAAGGAGGAAAGGGAGGGGCTGCAGCGAGCGATCAAGGGGCGGAGGGAGGGGAGCTGGTCCATGTCTGTGAAGATGAGATCGAGGGAGGTGATGTGCTGGCCGTGGCGGGTGAAGAAGTAGCGGATGGTCTTCTGCCAGCGCTCGTCCTCGTACACGAGGGAGATGGGGTGTTTCTCCTGCACCCAGTGAGTATTGCAATCAATGTTTGCAAAGAAAGAAAAAGAAAAAGAAAAGAGCATAAGATCCACTCAATCATGTTCGCTGCATGTTCAAGATGCTCATGCGTGTTGGACAGAAGCATGTGTGGGAACTTTTTTCGTAAGATTTCATCCTGGATCATGGATTGTTGGGAAAAAAAAAAAAGAAATGAGGAGTTTGGACAGCTTGAGGAACAAAATGAGTTGGCCAAGTGTGTGAGAAACGGAGCAGAGGACTCACAGCGAAGGAGAGGACATGCTGGAGAAGCCTCTTGCTCGCGAAAGCGCAGCAGATTAGAGGCCAGGAGGAGCCATAGCCTCTGGCATTATCCTCATGCTGATCGGCAGCGGAGGAATTAGGGTCACTGAACATTTTCAGGAACTCTGATTGGTCATCCGATTCCTTCTTCGAATAGCCATACTTCAGCCTTTCAAACCCCGTGAGGCCCGTGGTGCCTTGGGGTTTGTCCTCTTGGGGGGGTGGCCGCAGGAGGCAGTGGAAGATTTGGTGCCAGAGGGGAGCTGGCAGCACGTCGACCACATCAGGGCAAGTGGCGGCTGCTGGGTGAAAACGATGGGTGTAAAAAGAAGCTGAATCGGGAAACAGCAGAACGGCTTGTGTAGACTTGGAGAGTGGAATATGGAGGACGGACGGACTGGAACTGAGAGCGACATGCATGAAGTTGCAGTGGCAGGGAGTGTGAGAGTCACGCTCGAGTGACACATTTATACGCGAAGAGCTAGTGGAATAAAGCACTTGAAGAGGAAGAGACGGACTACATTGAAGAGGAACGAAGCCACATGAAAGATAGGCAGGGACAAGGGATTCTTGCGAGGAAATGGGATGGAAAAGTCATGATGCACGGAGGTTCTTGCTACTTCTTCACACCCGCTAAGAATGACCTTAGTAAACGTTTCCTCTGCATTATCCTGAACAGCACTAAGAATCTGTAGCTGGAAATGGTGTTGGCATTTGTGGCTAAAACAAGAGCTGGTCTCACACGCAGAGACTTGCGTTGCGAGCACGAACCTGGATCTTCCATTTATCAACGCTGGATTCTTCGTCGGTAGGGAGTGAATGGCGAATGAGAGAACCAATGGGATTGCAGAAGCTGGTATCCTAAACGCTACTAATCTCATCGCACTTTGGCGAGAATGGCGCTCCCAAGACAGTCTTGAGATTTGTTAGCACGGGAATCCGCAATGCTGCTTGCTGGGGTGTCAAATTTCAAGCCAAGCGGGAATCTGAAATTCGCTGGAGGGACCGTTTCCACACACCTGCTACAGTGATATAACTCGGGTGCTTTGGTGCTTGTTTCGCAACGCAGCCTGTCTCGCGAGGGAGATTTTCGACACGAGGTTCTGTTTGTGTTCCCCTGCCGCACCTCGATGACCTCTGCACGAAATGTTATGGATGCATCGCTACAAGCATGACGCTGTTTCAGTTTCAGAGAAATAAGGTGGGACTTGCTAAGCACCCCGAAACAGGTGGTTGGGGGGGCTTTGGGTTCAGGGCTCTATCCAAGTGGATAAATCAGTAAGCAAGGTTGTTGTTTCAGCGCACACCTGGCCCAGTAATCGTCATCCTCCACATGCGCCCCTTTCTTGGACTCTTTCATTGTTCACTAACGCGCAAAGGTGTCGCGTCGGGATTTTCACAGCATCTTAAGGGGTCATCGCGCTTCGGCGCTGTCCGTTACACTACCTTGGTCCACAGCAAGGAGCAGTCAAGCAGACGCGATCGAGACGCGGGGTGGTTTTGGGAGAGACGTGCAAAAAAAGTCTCTTTTGGAATCACCAACGGTTTATTGCACGAACCAGCAGCAGACAGGCAATTGCTGCGCAGAGATCCACTGCCTTTGAGGCGCACGACGCGGCGCCCCTACGTCGACTCACGGGCATCGCACAGGGATCGCGCAGACATCGCACACGCATCGCACACGCATCGCACAGGAGCCGCACAGGAGCCGCTGCTCAGAAAGTCGCACGAGCGGCTGCCGCGATGGCGCGAGGGCGCGCAGCGGGCGCGCGGGGAGGGGCAGCGACGCGCGGGACAGGGAGGGGCGGAGCAGGGAGAGGAGCGGTAGACGCAGGCAGGGTAGCGACGGACGGGGTAGCGGCGGGCTGGGAAGCGGCGGGGGGAATGGCGGGAGGAGCGGCGGGAGAGGTGGTATCGCCGTCGGAGGTGCCACATGGGGACGGCGGCGTCTCGGCGTGGTGCATGCACGTGCACACCGTGCTCGGCACGCGCCTGCTCGTGCCCGCTGCCCCCACCGCCACCGTCAGCGACCTCCTCCGTGCGTCCCCCTCCCGCTCCCCGTCTCTCCCCCCCTCGTCCCCCTCTTCGCCCTCCCCCACTCGCAATCGTCGCCCTCCTCGCCCGCATGTCTTCCTTGACGCCTCTCTCCAACACTCTTTTGTTCCGCCTTTTGTCGATAAGCACGCTACTGGAATGCAGCGAGCTCGTCTTCCCTTCCCGTCTCCCTCCCTCCCTCCCTCCGTCCCTCCGTCCGTCCGTCCCTCCCTCCCTCCCTCCCTCCCTCCCTCCCTCCCTCCCTCCCTCCCTCCCTCCCTCTCTCCCTCCCTCCCTCCCTCCCTCCCTCCCTCCCTCCCTCCGTCCCTCCCTCCCTCCGTCCCTCCGTCCCTCCCTCCGTCCCTCCCTCCGTCCCTCCCTCCCTCCGTCTCTCCCTCCCTCCCTCCCTCCCTCCCTCCCTCCCTCCCTCCCTCCCTCCCTCCCTCCCTCCCTCCCTCCCTCCCTCCCTCCCTCCCTCCCTCCCTCCCTCCCTCCCTCCCTCCCTCCCTCCCTCCCTCCCTCCCTCCCTCCCTCCCTCCCTCCCTCCCTCCCTCCCTCCCTCCCTCCCTCCCTCCCTCCCTCCCTCCCTCCCTCCCTCCCTCCCTCCCTCCCTCCCTCCCTCCCTCCCTCCCTCCCTCCCTCCCTCCCTCCCTCCCTCCGTCCCTCCCTCCGTCCCTCCCTCCGTCCCTCCCTCCCTCCGTCCGTCCCTCCGTCCGTCCGTCCGTCCGTCCCTCCCTCCCTCCCTCCCTCCCTCCCTCCCTCCCTCCCTCCCTCCCTCCCTCCCTCCCTCCCTCCCTCCCTCCCTCCCTCCCTCCCTCCGTCCCTCCCTCCCTCCGTCCCTCCCTCCCTCCCTCCGTCCCTCCGTCCCTCCGTCCCTCCCTCCCTCCGTCCCTCCGTCCCTCCGTCCCTCCCCCTCCCTCCCTCCCTCCCTCCCTCCCTCCCTCCCTCCCTCCCTCCCTCCCTCCCTCCCTCCCTCCCTCCCTCCCTCCGTCCCTCCCTCCCTCCGTCCGTCCGTCCCTCCCTCCCTCCCTCCCTCCCTCCCTCCCTCCCTCCCTCCCTCCCTCCCTCCCTCCCTCCCTCTCTCTCCCTCCCTCCCTCCCTCCCTCCCTCCCTCCATCCCTCCGTCCCTCCCCACATCAGCCCCTCCCTTCACTGCTGGCGAGTTCCCTCCTTTCCTCCCGCACACACGCACTCACTCGCGCGCTGCACTCCCCTTACCTTACCAAACCCCTACTCCTGGTCCTGTCTGCAACCCTCTCCCCTGCTGCCGCTTCCTTACCACCGGCCTGCTGTTTCCCTCTGCCTTTGAGGGACAAACGCAGTGTCGGAGTGTTCGACAGGGACATACTCCTTTCCTCCCGCACACACGCACTCACTCGCTCGTTGCACTCCCCTTACCAAACCCCTACTCCTGGTCCTGTCTGCAACCCTCTCCCCTGCTGCCGCTTCCTTGCCTCTGGCCTGCTGTTTCCCTCTGCCATCAGAGGGAGAAAGTGGCTTGTAAGCCTCAAAAGTCAGTCAAGTTGAGTATTGAGTCAACTCCAAAGTCAACTCTGCCATCAGAGGGAGAAAGGCTTGTTAGCCTCAAAATTCACTCAACATTCTCCTCGCCGCGCGCTTCCTTCTCATGACGCATTGGAAAGCGTGGAACACGAAAGTGTGAAACTCACGCCTTAATCACCGTGCCTTGAGCCCCGCGCATTCAAACCCGCTCCATAAACCCCTGCACCTTACACCCCACGCCTTCCTCCCGCGTCTTAAACCCTGGCCCCCTTACACCCTGCACCCTAGACCCTGTGCCGCTTAAACCCTGGATCAAGCTCATGCTTCCTGACACTCGCTCCACATGTTGAGGCGTGGTGCAAGGGGATTGATCGCCTGTCCTGGCGGGTCCATGTGCTTCTAACCAACAGCTCACCCACCTTCTTCCCGCTTTCCTCACTGCACACGTTTTCTCCCCCTTCCACGCCCCCACCCCCTTATTATAATATTCTGTTCTCCATTACACTTTCGCTTCTTTGCTCGTTTTCCCTTCTCCCCCACCCTTTCCTTACTCTCTCCTACTCTTCATCCTACTCCTCCTCCTCCTCCACCTTTACTTACCTCTCCTTTTCCCCAATCCCTCATGTTCCCCCACGCCCTTCCCCCATGGCGGGATGGTTGGCAGGCATGGTGGGGCAGCAGCACGAGCACGTACACCCGCACATGGGAAGCATTCGTTTTGAGTCCGCCAAGGTGTGTGCCACCCCTCCCAAGGCCACGTGCCAACTCTCGCTGATGCACGCCAATTCTTTTAACCCAAACCTTAAACCCCTCCCTCCCTAGTCGTCCACCAGTGTGTGTCGGGTCCAGCACTCAAATCATCAGCCTCTCAATCCCAAACATCCTGCACTTGAACCCTAGACCGAGGGTTCAGGGTTCAGGGGTTTGCACCCTCCCTTGCCTGCACTCGAACCCTGGACCTTCGCTCCAACCTACCCTACAGGAAAAATCACCTCATGGAATGAACCAGCAAACCGAATCATACGGTGTCCTCGCGGCAGTTGGTGGTTTGGCACAGTTCGAGGCAAACCGCTCTGCACCCATTCCACAGCCACCATCATCCATCCTTTCTCTCACTCCTTGCTTTGTCTCCACCTCAGTCCCCTCTTCTACCACTTACCCCCTCTTATCCTCCTCTTATCCCTTTCCATTTTCAGTTCTACCCACCTATCCACCCCCCCCCCCCCACTCTGCGTCCACTTTCCTCTTATCCGTGCTCGCCCATCATCAGGTGCTGCGCCAGGCCTCTCTGTTTGCCGTCGCCCCGCAACTCAAACTAGCCGACGTGTTGAAGCCTGATGACGTCATTCTCGCTTTCACCGGGGATGCTGACGTTGCTGCTGATGTCAGCGGTGAGCTCCCTAGGGTTCTTGTAGGTTACTAGTATCTCATCTTTTTCATGCATGGTTTCTACTTGTTTGTTGGTTTCTACTTGTTGGTTTCTCTGTTTGTTAGTTGTCCTCTGTCCTTTCATCGTTCCAACCAAGTACCTTTCCGGTCTGGGGTGTGTTAGAGTACCAAGCTTCATTGGGTCCAGACTTGGAGCTGGGGTGAACTGAACACCCTCTTTGTTGCATGACCCTGCCTTTAGAGATGCAATTCATTTGTTCCTCACGCTCCATGTCCCGACGCACACATGCCAATGAATTAATGCGATAATTTTTGTCCGTTGAACCTCACACCTCCTCCTTTACCTCCTTTCATGCCTACCCACCCACAGACTATTTGACACACCACCTTGCATTCGGCTCCTCCCGTCCCAGTCACAACGAATCTTCCTTCAGCACTCTCGACCACCATTCACCATCTCCTCACCACCAACTGCCACGTGGCAGTCTCTCCAGCGACCACGTGGCATTCCAGCGTGGGCTGCTGGCCGCCCTCGCTGCTGCTGACGTGTCAGGGAGGGGGGTGAAGGTGGTCAGCGAAGCAGGAGAGAGGAGGAGAGTAAGGGGGGTGGTGGTGGGGGGAGGGGGAAAGAGAATGCGGCTGGAGGGGGAGGGGGAGGAGATGGAGCGGAGGGGAGGGGACGACTTGCCCTTGTTGACAGATGGGCCGGCGGGAGGGGAGAGGGTAGAGGGAGGAAGCAGGGGAGAGGGGGGAGGAGGGCGAGGGGAAGGAGGGCGGGGAGAGGGAGAAAGGGGAGCGGGAGAAGCTGTGAGAGGCGCGGAGGTAGGTGGTGAGAATGGGTGGTTTCTTGGGAGCTGCGAGGGCAAGGAGAAAGGAGTGGTTGAGGAGAGACCAAAAGCGGGAGGGGGACATGGGAGGAAGCATGGGGGAGGGGAGTCAAGGGGAGGGGAGTCACGGGGAGGGGAGTCAGGGGGAGGGGAGTCAGGGAGAGGGGAGTCACGGAGAGGGGAAGGAAACGCGCAGGTGGATGGAGAGGTGCGCGGTGAAGGGGGGCGTGAGAAGAAGCGGAGGAGGGAGAGCGTGGAAGAGCAGAGGATGGGTGATGGCGCTGGAGAGGAGGGAGGTGGGGAGAAGGCAGATGGGAAGACGGCAGATGGTGCGTCTGATGGGGAGAGGATGGGTGGGGAGAGTGTGGGCGTGGGGCGGGCAGGGAAAAGACAAAGACTGGGGGAGGGGAGTGAGAAGGATGGGGTGGTGGAGGGGGGAGAGAGGGATGGGGGGACGGTGGAAGGGGATGCGTTGGGGGGAGGAGGGGATGGGACGGGGGATGAGAGAGGTGCGACTGTGGGGAGGAAAGAGAAGGGTGGAGAGGATGAGATGAAGGAGAGTAAAGGGGTGAAGGAGAAGAAAAGTACCAAGGGGAACGGGAAAGACGAGGTGAATGGGAAGGACGAGGTGAAAGGGAAGGACGAGATGAAAAAGACGGAAGGAAAGAGTGGTAAAGCAAGTGGGAAGGGGAAATCGGCGGAGGGAGGGCATGAGGCGGAAGAGGAGAGAGCAGTGAATGAGGTGAAGGAGGGACGTGCAGCACATGGTGCTGGCGATACTGCCCGGGGTGCTGGTGATACTGCCCGGGGTGCTGGTGATACTGCCCGGGGTGCTGGCGATACTGCCCGGGGTGATGGTGTGAAGGGTGGTGGTGAAGTGGGTACGAATGAGGAAGTGGTGAGTTTGGTGAGGGATGAGAGTGAGGAGAGTGAGGAGGACAGTGAGGAGGGGAGTGAGACGGATGGTGAGGAGGAAGGAAAGGAGGAAGGGGAAGGGGAAGGGAAGGACATGGAGATTGAGAAAGAGGAATCAGAGGATGAGGAGGGTGAGGAGGACGAGGAGAGAGAGGAGGAAGAGGAGGAGGATGAGGAGGGGAAAGTGAAAGTTTCAGAGGCAGAGGCTAAGGAGGAGGGGAAGAAGGAAGATGGTGGTGATGATTCGGAAACAGAAGAGGAATCAGACGAAGAGACAGAGGAGGAGGCAGAGGAGGAGGCAGAGGAGGAGGCAGGAAAGGAAGGAAAGGTGAAAGACAAGGAAGTGAAAGGGAAGGATAAGGGGAAGACAGGCAACGAGGAGGAGGAAGAAGAGGAGGAGGATGAGGAGGGAAAAGTGAAAAAGTCGGAGGCAGAGGCTAAGGAAGAGGGGAAGAAGGAAGATGGTGGTGATGATTCGGAGACAGAAGAGGAATCAGACGACGAGACAGAGAAGGAGGAAGAAGAGGAGGCAGGAAAGGAAGGGAAGGTGAACGACAAGGAAGTGAAAGGGAAGGAAGGAAAGGCAAAAGAGAAGGAAGTGGTAGGGAAGGATAGAGGAAAGACAGACACAGCGGAGGAAGAAGAGGACGACGAGGAGAAGGGAGGGGAAGAGGAAGAAGAAGAGGAAGAAGAGGAGGATGATGAGGATGAAGAAGGGGAGGATGACGAGGAGGGGAAAGTGAAAGCTTCAGAGGCAAAGTCGAAGGAGGAGGAGAAGAGGGAAACTGGCGCTGATGATTCGGAGACAGAAGAAGAGTCAGAGGAGGAGGATGATGATGGGAAAGTGAAAGTTCCAGAGGCGGAGGCGAAGGAGGATGGGAAGACAAAAACTGACGGTGATGATTCTGAGACAGAGGAAGAGACAGAGGAAGTGACAGAGGAAGAGTCAGATGAGGATGCAGAAGAGGAGGTAGAGGAGGCGGCAGGGAAGAAAGAAAAGGTGAAAGAAAAGGAAGTGGTAGGGAAGAGTGGAGGAAAGACAGAGAAAGAGGAGGAAGAAATGGAGGACGAGGAGGAGGAGGAGGAAGAAGAGGAGGAAGAGGAAGAGGAAGAGGAGGAAGAGGAGTCAGATGATGAAGTGGTGGTGTTGGAGAGCGGTGCAGAGGGAAACAAGGAGCGAACTGACAAGGCTCAGACCAGAGCCTCTGCTGCTGCTGCTGCTGCTGCTGCTGCTGTTGCAGCGAGCAAAGCAGTGGCAACGAAAGGAGCAGCAAGCAAGGCGGACGGGAAAGGAGCAGACAGCAAAGCAGCAGCAGCGGGTAAAGCAGTAGAAGAGAAGGAACCAGCAGTGAAGGCAGTGGGAGGAAAACAAGACGGAGCAAGCAAAGGAGCTATCAGATCTGGTGCAGCAGGATCAGGAGGGAAAGATGGTGTTGCAGAGCGAGTGGGTGTTGTGAGAAGACAAGAGAGAGTGGATGAGAAGAGTGAGGAGGAGAGTGAGGGGAGCGAGACAGAGAGTGAGGGGGGAGTGGAGGAGAAAGAAGAGGAGGAGAGTGAGGAAGAAGGGGAGGATGAGAGTGAGAAGGAGAGTGAGGAGGAGAGTGACGAGGAGGAGGAGGAAGAGGAGAGGAAACTGGATGACAAGAGCAAGAAACAGGCCAGCAAAAGCAAGAGAGCGGACACAGACAAAGGGATAGTGACAGGGGGCGCCAAGAAAAAGGGGGCTGCAGGGAAGGTGGAGGGTGTGAGAGGAAGAGAGGAAGCAAGCACAGGGAAGAGAGGTCACAAAGAGTCATCCGCAGCAGCAGCTGCTGCAGATGCAGCAACGGCGGCGGCACCAGCAGCAGGAGCAGCAGTAGCAGCACAGACGGATGGCACGGGGGGGAGGAACACGGGAGGGAAGCGAGGTGTCGGAGGCAAGAAGGCTGATAGTAATCCTGTTGCCGTGCCTCCAGTTGCCCCTGCCGCTGAGGCAGGAACACAAGGTGCAGCCGCTACTGCTTCTTCTGCTGCCCCTGCTGCTGCTGCTGCCCCTGCTGCTCTGGTTGCTGCAGCAGCCAAGTCTGCGAGCGCCAGGGAGGCGGCTGGAAGAGCAGGGGGGAGAGGTAGGGGGAGAGGAAGGGGTAGGGGTAGGGGTGCTGTGAATCCTCCTGCTCATGCTCCCCCTGTTGCTGCCGCTGCTGCCGTTGCCAAGGTTGCATCTACAAGCACTGCTGCTCCTGCAGCAGATGAAGTCATTGCTGCCAGTGGGGGTGCCGCTGGAACTGCCAATAGCGCTGCTGCTGCTGCTCCTGCCGCAGCCAAGAAGCGTGACCGGGCGGCTGTCAAACCCCCTTCTGCTGCCCCTGTGCCTGCTGCAACTGCATCTGCTGCTGCTGCGCCTGCTGCTGCTGCTGCTGCTGCTGCACCTGCTTCTCCTGCTGCTGCTGCTGCTGCTGCTGCTGCGACTGCTGCGGCTGCTGCTACTGGAGCTGCTTCTGGTGCCGATGAGCTTCGTTCTGCTTCTGCCGATGTCGCTCCCCCAGCAGCCAAGAAGCGTGGTCGGCCTCGTGCTGCTGCCAAACCTCCAGTTGCTGCCGCTGATCCCGCAACTTCTGCTGTTGCTCCTGCTGCTGCTGTTAGTGGTGCACCTGTTGCTGCAGCTGCAGGGGGGAAGGGATCAGGGAGAGGGAAGGTGGTGGGACGAGGAAAGGCAGCAGCGGAGGTAGGTAAAGCAGCAGAGGCAGCAGGGGCAGGGGCAGCAGGTGCAGCAGCAGCAGGTGGTAATGTGGTTGCTGCTACAGACACAGATACAGCATCAATGTCATCACAGGTACCCACAGCTGCTGCTGTAGATGGAGTGGGAGGGAGGGCTTCGGCAGAGGGGAGGGCAGGAGCAGGAGGGAAGGCAGCAGCTGGAAGGGGAAAGACGGCAGGCAAGGGCAAGGCAGCAGCAGCTGCTAATGCTGGCAAGGCAAAAGGAGGAGCAGCGGCGGCAAAGGCGGGCGCATCACATGCACGAGCAGCAGGAGCAGCAGAGGAAGAAGGGCCAATAGATACAGCGGCACCGACGGGTCCAAGAGTGCCTCTTCGAATGAGTGCACCACCAAGCGGCACCTTCCGTTACCCCCGAGCCACTTCCCCTATTGACTCCGCTACCCCTGTTGCCTCCACTCCCCCTGTTGCCTCCGCTGCCCCCTTGCCTCAACCTTCCCCTTCAGCTGACTCAGCCAGGTAACTTCCTCGTGCGCCCAAGTAACTTCCTCGGGTGCCCAGGTAACTTCCTTGTGCACCTAGGTGAGTTCCTTGTGTGTCCAGGTAACTTCCTTGTGCGCCCAGGTACTCCTTCCTTTGTGGGCCCAAGGAATCTCTTCCTCTGTCCCAGTAACTAAACTTCCTGTTGCGCCCGCTACTAAAGTCATCACACGACGTAGCCATGTGCAATGTTTTATCGCATCTTCACTGTATACCTGTCTTTTGTTGTTGCGTTCTCATTACCCAATCCCCCGTTCGCTTAGTGTATCTACTCGTTACGATGGAGTCGCATTTGCCATTCTATGCCGTGTCACTCTTTCCCACGTGTTGTTTGAGCTTGCCTCTTTGACTGTTTGGCTTGTCCCTCTCTGTGGTGGTTTCTCGGCAGCCCAATGCCGGTCGCGGACTTGGGATGGGAGGCATTCTCAAGATGATCTATGTACTCGATTCTTGATTTGTCTCAATTTGGGTGTTCTCCCTCCCCTTGTGGTTTCTCTCTCTACAGCCCTTTGCCGGTCATGGACTTGGGAGACATTCTCAAGATGATAAAGTAAACTGCATCAATGTCAATCTTGCTTCAGATGCGCCTGTTCAGAGGCGCACCCACGCACCCAAGTATATGGTGAACTCTGAACATGTTCTTTTCTCTCGGAGATTGTTTGTCACCAGGCAATTAGAGACACTTGAGGTAAAGGCAAGTGTACTTTGATGCACCTTGCAGAATCCAGTCGAAACCCAAGTAGCCTGGATACCGTAGCAGAGATATTCAAAGGAAAGGGAGTGTCACTAAGATCGTGATTGCGCTTGTGTGCGACCTTGTACACCTGAGTGCAGATGGTGTTGAATGGGTGCGAGCTCTGATTCGGACGGAAGTCCTGGTTTGGAGGCCTAGTTTAGCAGCCAATACACGCACTGCATGTCATGCCAAGGTCCATATTTTTCAGCGCTCGAGTTGATTTTTTTTTTTTTTTTTACAGCCCTTTCTTACCGGTACATTCCTACATCTGCTTGACAAACTTTCAGAAAATGCAGGATTACCTCGAATTCACTAGGCAGACACTCGAGTCACAGTAAGCAGGTGGTGTGAAGGCAGCGACAGCCAACTCCACAAGGGCTATCGAAAAGCTGCAGCCAGCATCAGCCTGTCAGAACACTTTCTGATCTGCTTGCTGATGGAAGAAAGGGGGGTGAGGGTTGATTGAGAGATCTGTCCACCAAGTTCCTGATTCATTCTTGGAATGAAGAGAACTGACTGAAGTGTACAAAAACCAGGTTTGAACCTGACGTGAATCGAACACGCAACCTTCTGATCTGGAGTCAGACGCGCTACCATTGCGCCACAGATCCGTGACAAGAATGCAGCTGTTAAGTAGTCCTTATCTTTGTATTGGTCGTGCCGTTTAGGAAGTGTTTCCCGCCACGAAAATCCGTTTGAGCTGTGCAAAGTATCACCCGTTTGCTCGCACACCCCATTCGTCTCAACTCTAGTCACAGGTTTGTGAGGCAAACAATGTCAGCCCCGAGCCAGACACACACTTCCCCATTCATGTTTGAGGCCATCCCATACCCGTATATGGGCAGAACTCACCACCACGCGATCAAGCATACTGTGACAGGAGTGCGCAGATTTCACCGTGATGATGAGAAAGCCGAGAGGCGAGCGCGCGGTTCCATAGCCAGTTGAAACAGGTATCTCGACGACACGCGATCGCCATGGCACCGTCGCTGGGATGTGCTGGGGACCCGAATTGCGAACTGAGAGGGACGAGCGAGCGACGTGAAAAGAGGAGGCGAACGAACGATAGGCGTCAGGACGACGCTGACCCCGAAGGCAAGGACCTGCATTCCTAGCAAAGCCTGGTCTTACCGCGACGCAGTCCCTTGACTCTTATTATCGTGCCTCATGGCACCCGAACTTCACTTCTGCTCATATGTATATTATTTCACTCGCTTCACACACTCAGTGAACCAGCAGTTTCCGTCCATCCCTTCCAAAATCCGTTAAGTGTCTCCTACCCACCTTCATTCATCATCTCACAAGACATGAAGTTCGCGTTCTCCCACCTTCATTCCTAGTAGTCTTTGAAGCAGAATCCGCCCGCTTCCAGAATCGCAACAGTAATCATGCTCTTTTTTTGAGTCGACTCAAGAACAGGATCTTTCTCGCTCCTTCATTCCTTGTAGTCCTTGAAGCGAAATCCGCTCGCTTCCAGAATCGCAACACAAATCGTGTTCTCTTACCCGTCCCTACACTCCCGTTTTTATCTCCGCCTGAAACCCATCCGCTCTCCCTCTCCCTCTCTTCTCCCTATCCTTCTTTCTCCCTATTTCTCTCCCTCTTTCTTTTTCCTATCCCTCTCCCTCTCTCCCTCTTTCTCTCCCTATATCTCCCCCTCTTTCTTTCCCTATCCCCCTCTCCCCCATTCTCAGACCAGGGCAGCGACCTGATCGACGCGCTCCCAGCGGTGCTCTGGCACCGCATTTTCCGCCTGCTGCTGGATCGCCCATGCACCGCCACCCCTCCGCACTCCGCAGGCGGCCGCTACTACTGCCGCGCGCGCAGCACGGCGCAGCGAGCAGAGGCCAACTCCGGAGACGCCGGCCGTGGCGGCGGTGCTGGTAGTTCTACTGGCAGCAATGTCCCACAAAGCGATGAGAATCGTGCGGCTAGAATGGCACCGGTGCCCGTGTTCGTGAAGGCCGGGGTGTCGCCGTGCTGGCTGCATGCACGCAACGCGCGAACGTACGGCTCCTCGTGGGCGCTGCTGTGCTGCGCAATTGCTAGCAAGAGGCTGCTCCTCCTCGTCGCCTCCTTCTCCGTGAGTGCCCCACTCGTTCTCTGCCCCTCGGCGCCCACTCCTCGCGCCTGCTGCCCCTGCACACACTCTCAATCTCCGTGTTGTTCGTTTTCCAGGAGAATTTGCCATGTCTCGCTCCTTCACACTTGATTGCATTCTCAGTTGTAGGTTAGATTCATAACTCTCTGTCCTTCATTCCCAAGCATGGCAGCTTCGCACTCTCATATGGTCCTTCGTGCTCTCTCCCTCTCTCTCATTTCTGCGCATGCTGGAGTGGCTCTTGATAACCATCTTGATAAGCTCCACTGCGCAATCCAATCTTCTTTCCCTCTCTCCTCCCTCCCTCCCTCCCTCCCTCCCTCCCTCCCTCCCTCCCTCCCTCCCTCCTCTCTCCTCCATCCCTGCCTCCCATCACCCACCAGGAACAAGGCACGCCCATGAGTCTGCACCTCAGTCCCGCCCAGCCCCAGTGGACCACCAGCGTGCGCTGGCTGCTCTCCCGCTCCTCTCCCACCTTCCCATCCCTCCGCCTCTCCTTCTCCCACCCCTCCCTCATCCCCCTCATCCGCCGCCCCTTCACTCTCCCCTCCTCCCCTGCCGCCTCCTCCCTCTCATCCCTGCAACTAACCCTGAGCATCAGAGAGAAGTTCACAGAGGAGGATTACCGCCAGAGCGACTGGAATCTAGGCTTTCTCAAGACCTGCTCCTCCCTGCACTCCCTCACACTCGCACGTGGAGCCTGGCGCTTAGGTAAAACCTGCATCACTGCTCCATGGATGCAGTCCCTCCGGAACTTAACCCTCAAGAATGGACTCCAGGGGGATCTCCCTTAAAGCCCTGGCCGCCATTTCCCCCCAGCTGCACGAATTCTCGTTCTGCGAGCCGTGGAAGCTGGAGGAGGAGGGAGGGGAGGACTGCAAGGGACCCGTGCTGCTGGCGCTCGAGTTCCCCAGGGCTCGCCGCCTCTCCTTCCGCTTCCTCAGCCACGAGCTCAAGCTGAAGCTCGCCCTCTCTCACGACTCCCTCACCTCCTTCTCCGCCTGTGCCCAGTCCCTCACTCTCGCCTGCCGCTCTGCCCGCCCTCTCACGTTGACCCAGCTGTTGCTGTTTGGGGAAGAGCGGATCCATATTGCCTCCTTTGAGGTTGCCTTTGTCCGTGCAATCTACCTCAACGCCCCGATTAAACTGCTGCCGCCGCCGCAGCCCTCTGCATGGGCGGACTGGCTGCGTGCCCTCGCCCCAACAGTGGAGCTGCTAATAGCGAGGCATGACATTGACCTCGAGGCCTGCAGGTTCCCCTGGCCGCGGCTGCAGAGCCTTGGGATAGTCGTGGCGAGTGACTACGATGTGATGAACCCGGTGCGAGGGGAGATGGCGGTGGAAGATGTGCAGAGAGCAGATGGGAATGAGATCATCGAGTGGACGAGACGCCAGAGAAGGAAGGAGCAGGCGGAGGCGAGGGAGACGGAGTGGAGGATGAGGAATCAAGGGCTCACTCGCTTTCACGCAGGTCCATTTGGTAACCAGCTTGTTGGTTTTGGGTCTGATGATGACGATGATGACGATGATGACGATGATGACGATGATGGTGGTGATTATGTTTATGGTCCCCTGGAGCGAGCGACGCCATCACGCAGACCTGCTTCAATTCGTTGGTGCGTCCCTCCGAGCATCAACGCTCCAAACCTGCGAGCTATGTTCTTCCCAACCCGCCGTGACACACCAGCGGCCCTGCTGGGAGATCTCAAGGCGAGGCATCCCTCCCTGGCGCTGTACTGTGTGGCAAGGCACACATGGTACTGGGAGAGGAAAGGGATGAGGGTGGAGGGTGGGCCAGTGGCGCATGTGCGGGGGCCGAGAGGAGGGAAGAGCAGTGCGTCGTTCAGGAATGGGAGGAAGAGCGTGCGGGATAAGATGCACAGTGTGAATCGGGGGCTAATGGAGGGATACACGCTGGATGAGGAGTAGCGACGGTGATGAGTTTGATGACGACTACGATGAGTATCGGTTAAGGGTAGAAAGACGGAGCTGCAGGTCGGTGGTTGGTAGGGAGGAGTGGGAGAGAGATGGTGATGATGATAGCGATGATGGTGATGAATTTGATGATGAGGATGAGGATGAGGATGAGGATGAGGATGACGACTACGATGACGATGACGATGACGATGACGATGAGGATGAGGATGAGGATGACGACTACGATGACGATGAAGACTACGATGACGATGAATAGGAATCGATATGTCATTGGAAGGAACTTATTGGAGCACAACGCACATGTGAACTGGAGGTTGTTGACAACGAGGTATGGGGTGGTGGTCAAGGAGGTGAAGCGATGCATTAATATGTTTACTTTTATTTCATGGTGCTGCGTGACAGCATCTATTTCCATACTGATTGTCTGTTCGTGCAGGTGTATGGTAAAGTGTATTACCGGTAATGGAAATTGGTAATGGAAATTGGTGGCACTGTCAGAGTGTGGTTGAGTGTTGTCCAGCTAGCCACATTCCAGTGGGCTGAACCCAAAGCATGCTTTGTGTTCGCCGTGGGGAGCATTCGTTGCGCACCCACAAACCTAGAACTTCGCACACAACATGTACCGGTAAGGGATGTCAATTGTTATTGTGTGTAGCCTCCCTATAACAAAAGCATAACAAATTTCCAAGATTGTTGAAGTTGCAGCGTGCGTTATTGCAGCGGTAGCGGGGCTGGTGGTAGCGAGGCGAAGGGATTGGCAGACACTTGCTCTGCACCCAGGGCGCGTCACATCGGACGTTCGGACGCTCTCTTCTCTTGCAAGCAGCTTTCAGTACTTCGCCCTTGACATATTCTTTCCCGCCATGGCGACGGGCTCGCTGAAACAGATCGCCAAGCGTCGCCTGCGCGACCTGCTCGTCGCAAGCACCGCCGGTCGCACATTCGCATCAGCGCCGAGTCCCGTCCAACCCGCCGTTGGTCACTCTCGCGTTGACTCCGCCGTTCACCACGCGCGCGCTGACTCCGCCGCGCGCACCCAATTCGCAGCCACGAACCCCTCGTCCGCTGTGCTCGCCGCTGGTACCACCGACTCTCTGCGGCCTGCCGCGTCGCAGCCCACATCGCAGCTTACGTCGCAGCCCACGTCGCAAAGATTTCCCGACGAATGTTTTCAACCGGCCTTCCTACCACGCGGCCACTGCCAGCCCGCTCTACCCTTGCCGCCTTCCGCGCTTACAGCATCGGCGCGCTCTCAAGCGCCTCACACGCTTTGGCCTGCCGCGCCACGCGCAGAATCCGCAACAGCACCAGCGGCGGCGGCGGCGGCAGCAGCGCGCTGCCACCACTCCGCCGCCGAGCCGTGCCACCACGACGAGGCGCGGACAGGAAACGGAGCCACGTCAGCAGCGACGGCGACGGCCGGCAGCGGCGGTCGTGACAGGCCCGTCGATTCTGTGACGCCTGCCACGTCAGCAGCTGATGACTCGTCCGCGTGCTGGCTTTGCTCTGCCGATCGCGGCGCTGATGCGCGCGCGGGGGAAAAGGACAACCCGTCCGCGGTTGACATGCGCGCGGATGCGGATGCGGAAGCGGAGGGCGCGAGGGGCAGGGGGGATGGTGCGACCAAGGAGGGCGATCCGCTGACGTGGCGATTCTTCTGCGGGACATGTGGCGCGCTGCAACCGGTGGACAAACAGACGGACCTGTTCGAACTGTTCGGGCTGTGAGTGCCGGGCTGGGATTGCATTGGACTTTTTTCTTAGCTTTCGGGGCAACTCTGCAGTTTGCGATCAACTGCTGTGGTGGGCATGTCACATGTGGCGCGCTGCAGCCAACCGGTGGACAAACACACGGACCTGTTGGAGCTGTTCAGCCTGTGAGTGGTTGATTGACGTGCTTGGGATTGGGAGACGTGATGAAAGGTTACGTTTGGGACATCTCAAAAACAACCTCTCATCAACCGGTGAACAATCAGACGCACCTGTTCGAATTGTTCGGGCTGTGAATCGCGGATTGCTCAGCTCTTTCTCCCCCCCTTCTCCCCCGCCCACCGCCCTCCAGCCCGCGTGCATTCGCCATCGACCTATCTCTGTTGGAGCAGCGCTACAAGCAGCTGCAGAAGATGCTTCACCCGGACCTGCATGGGGGCAGGTCGGAGGTGAGACGGGGGGGGAGCAGGGGGGGAAAGGGGGAAGGGAGAAAGTACTCGTAGTCTCCTTACACAACAGCAGCAGAAAATGCTGCAGCCGGACTTGCATGGGGCAAGCCGCAAGACGGGTGAATCGTGCACGCAGGGGGCACGGGGCCTAGTGATGAGCGCAGGAATAGGCGATGGTCTTCCTAGTTCTGAGATCGTCTGAGTCGGTCATGTTTGTGTGCTTGTGAGTATGTGCTTCATCTCATGCTTTGCACATGGATGGCATGGCATGGCATGGCATGGGATGGCATGGGATGGCATGGCATGGGATTGGGACGCCACGGTATTTGTCTGTGTGCATGTGTGTGGCCGACATGGGTTAGAGATGTGAATGATGATTGATGCACATGGATGATGTGTGCATGTGCGTGTGTGTGCATGAATGCGCATGTGCGTGTGTGTGCATGAATGCGCATGTGTGTGTGTGTGTGCATGAATGCGCATGTGTGTGTGTGTGCATGAATGCGCATGTGTGTGTGTGTGCATGAATGCGCATGTGTGTGTGTGTGCATGAATGCGCATGTGTGTGTGTGTGCATGAATGCGCATGTGCGTGTGTGTGTGCACGAATGCGCATGTGTGTGTGTGTGTGTGCATGAATGCGCATGTGTGTGTGTGTGCATGAATGCGCATGTGTGTGTGTGTGCATGAATGCGCATGTGTGTGTGTGTGTGCATGAATGCGCATGTGTGTGTGTGTGCATGAATGCGCATGTGTGTGTGTGTGCATGAATGCGCATGTGTGTGTGTGTGCATGAATGCGCATGTGTGTGTGTGTGCATGAATGCGCATGTGTGTGTGTGTGCATGAATGCGCATGTGTGTGTGTGTGCATGAATGCGCATGTGTGTGTGTGTGCATGAATGCGCATGTGTGTGTGTGTGTACCTATGCGTATTCCTATGCATCTGCATGTGCTTACCGCAACACACACATGGAGCAGGAGGAGAGAGAGCTATCAGCGGAGCAGGCAGCACATGTCATCGACGCCTACTACACGCTCCTCAGACCGCTCTCTCGAGCCAAGTACCTCGTGAGTCCCCCCCTGCTCTGCCTCATGCCTCGTGCGCCTTGCCCCTTCACTTCCCATGTGCAATGCGATGTGGGCTTTGCACTGGCAGCAGCAGCGCATGTCAGCGCATGTGCCATGATGCCGGCCTTCCCTGGCCCCGGTTCGTCGGCCAAACCTGGCCTGGTCGAATCGAACCGGCTAGCTTTGTGCTGCGCACGTCCCGTCTGTGCTTTGTGCTGCGCACGTCCCGTCTGTGCTTCCCACCAATCAGGGGCGGGCCGCCTGTGCCGGCTTTGTGCTGTGCTCGTCCCACTGCAACCAATCGGGGGCGGGGCGACCTGTCTCTGTGTCTCCCGCCTGGCAGCCTGCCACCATACCCCCTGGCGTGGCTGGCATTATGCCTCCACTTCACTCCCCCTGTGCACTGCTGGCATAGGACTGAGTCAGTCTCAGTGAGGCTGCACTGCACAGGTCCACACTGATACCACCTTGCAGCCCTTGGTGGCTCCAATCCAACACCAGCAGCGGATGGCGGATGTCGAATGGCAGATGGCAGCCTCATCACGTGTATGAAGAAGTGTTGTGAGACGTCTCAAAGCAGCGGATGGCGGATGGCAGCCTCGTCACGTGTATGAAGAAGTGTTTTGAGACGTCTCAAAGCAGCGGATGGCGGATGGCAGCCTCGTCACGTGTATGAAGAAGTGTTTTGAGACGTCTCAAAGCAGCGGATGGCGGATGGCAGCCTCGTCACGTGTATGAAGAAGTGTTTTGAGACGTCTCAAAGCAGCGGATGGCGGATGGCAGCCTCATCACGTGTATGAAGAAGTGTTTTGAGACGTCTCAAAGCAGCGGATGGCGGATGGCAGCCTCGTCACGTGTATGAAGAAGTGTTTTGAGACGTCTCAAAGCAGCGGATGGCGGATGGCAGCCTCATCACGTGTATGAAGAAGTGTTTTGAGACGTCTCAAAGCAGCGGATGGCGGATGGCAGCCTCGTCACGTGTATGAAGAAGTGTTTTGAGACATCTCAAAGCAGCGGATGGCGGATGGCAGCCTCGTCACGTGTATGAAGAAGTGTTTTGAGACGTCTCAAAGCAGCGGATGGCGGATGGCAGCCTCATCACGTGTATGAAGAAGTGTTTTGAGACGTCTCAAAGCAGCGGATGGCGGATGGCAGCCTCATCACGTGTATGAAGAAGTGTTTTGAGACGTCTCAAAGCAGCGGATTGCGGATGGCAGCCTCATCACGTGTATGAAGAAGTGTTTTGAGACGTCTCAAAGCAGCGGATGGCGGATGGCAGCCTCATCACGTGTATGAAGAAGTGTTTTGAGACGTCTCAAAGCAGCGGATGGCGGATGGCAGCCTCATCACGTGTATGAAGAAGTGTTTTGAGACGTCTCAAAGCAGCGGATGGCGGATGGCAGCCTCATCACGTGTATGAAGAAGTGTTTTGAGACGTCTCAAAGCAGCGGATGGCGGATGGCAGCCTCATCACGTGTATGAAGAAGTGTTTTGAGACGTCTCAAAGCAGCGGATGGCGGATGGCAGCCTCATCACGTGTATGAAGAAGTGTTTTGAGACGTCTCAAAGCAGCGGATGGCGGATGGCAGCCTCATCACGTGTATGAAGAAGTGTTTTGAGACGTCTCAAAGCAGCGGATGGCGGATGGCAGCCTCAGCAGCTCTCTCTCAAATGTGCCTCCAAGGAGGGAGCTGAGTGGGGACAGCCCTGACTCTTCCCCTTTTCGCCCATCCTCGTTTCTCCAGTTTGCCTCCTCTCATCGCCCCCTTCACTCATCACCCCTCACCCCTCCCCCCATTTTCAGCTGCGGGCCAGTGGTGTGACAGCAGCAGAGCTGAGTGGCGACAGTCCAGGGAGGGACCAGCAGCTTCTCATGGAGGTGTGTGTGTGCTTGGGGGGGAAAGGGTGCTCATAGGCAGGGGAGGGTGTCTGTTGGGAGGGCGATGCTGGGGAGGGTGCTGGTTGGGAAGGTGCTGGTGGGGAGGGTGCTGGTGGGGAAGGTGCTGCTGAGGAGGGTGCTGGTGTGACAGCAGCAGAGCTGAGTGGGGACAGTCCAGGGAAGGACCAGCAGCTTCTCATGGAGGTGCGTACGTATGTGCTTGTCGAGAGGGTGCTTCTGGGGAGGTTGCTTCTAGGGAAGGTGCATCTGGGGACGGTTTAGCCGGTGATGGAAGTGAGGAAGAGCATTCTGTACGACTTTTGAGACGTCTCAAAAGTCGGTGACGATGAGGAGTTGCAGCATGTTCAAACGTCGGGAGAGGTTCTCCACTCACTCACTTACAATGTGTGTGTGACACCCCTCTGTGCATTGATGTGTGCCAGTGTGTGTGTGTGTGTGTGTGTGTGTGTGTGTGTGTGTGTGTTTGTGTGTGTGTGTCTGTGTGTGTGTGTGTGTGTGTGTGTGTGTGTGTGTGTGTGTGTGTGTGTGTGTGTGTGTGTGTGTGTGTGTGTGTGTGTGTGTGTGTGTGTGTGTGTGTGTGTGTGTGTGTGTGTGTGTGCCTGTGTCTGTGTGTGTGTGTGTGGCGGTGCCACAGGTTATGGAGATGAGGGAGACCAGTGATTGAGGACGCTGACAGCCCAGTGGAGTTACAGGGGAGTTGCATCTATTTTCCACCCCTCAGTTCATTTATGTATGTGTCTGTGTGTGTGCTGTGGTGTGTGGCGGTGATGGCAGGTGATGGAGCTGAGGGAGACCATCGAGGACGCTGACAGTGCAGAGGAGTTGCAGCAATGCCAAACGACTTGAGGTTCTCCACTCACTTACGGCGTCGCACCCCTCTGCCCTCTGATGTGTGTGTGTGGGCTTGTGTGGCGGCGTGGCAGGTGATGGAGCTGAGGGAGACCATTGAGGACGCTGACAGCCCTGAGCAGCTGCAGGCGCTGCAGATGGAGGTGTGTGTGTGTGAGTGTGTGTATGGGGGGGGGAAGGGGAGGGGAAGGGGGCGGGATGGGAGGTGATGGAGAAGAAACGCAGGTGATGGCAGGTGATGGAGCTGAGGAAGAGATTTGAGGATGCTGACAGTGCAGAGAAGGTGCAACGTCTTACAAACTCGGTACCCGTGGGTGTATGTGTGCTGCAGCTCAGTAGGGCTGCTGTTTGCAAAGCCGTGTCTTGTTGTTAATCATCCAGTCAAAAGGCACTTCAAGGTGCCCCATGGCTGTCTCTTGTGACAAAGAGAATTGCCGCTTGCTTGGCTAGACTGGACCAGTGGGAACTGATTCAAATCTACATGCTCTCTGGCTCGCTGGCTCGCGTGTGTGTGACAGACAGCGCAGCTTGATCCATCACATCCCACATGCATGTCACATCCCACATGCATGTCACATCCCACATGCATGTCACATCCCACATGCATGTCACATCCCACATGCTTGTCAGACATGTCAGGATCAGTACATGCTCTTTCGCTCACACAATGCTGTTCCTTGGCCAAACTAGACCAGTCAACATCTCTTCCTCTTTTTCCATTTCTTCCTCTCTAATTTGCTGGGTGTCTGGCACTGCATTGTGAAGACCCAGGAGAGAATGGAAGGGCTGTACAGCAGTTTTGACGAGGCGTTTCGGCAAGGTGATGTGGGGGCATGCGTGGGGCTGCTGCACCGCATGGCTTACTTCCAACGTGTGGCCAATGAGATTGACAACCGCCTGCATTCCATGTAGCGAGAAACAGGGTGTACACAACTCAGGGTACACAGAATTGTGGCGTCGCAGAAGACGAGATACAGTTGGTGGAAACGTTTGATGCTTAGGTGTAATGCGGTGCAGAGCAGTAGACTGCCTTTGTGATGCCGAAAGCAGATGCGTCTTAGCAGGAATGTACCCTCATTGAGGCTTGCATGTCATAGGGTTGGTTGCAAGCACCCAAGAATGGGTGGTGGTGGGGGGCTGGCTGCCTGGTTCCACTCCACCCAGATGTAGGGGGTATGGACAAGAGGGAGGTGATTGTTGTGGTGTGGGCTGTCAATACCTAGATCCAGTACAATTCATGTTTACAAATACATGCTTGTTTTTGAAAGCGGTATGCACACGTTTAATCTGCCCGGTAACAGGAGGCCACACCTCACACTGTTAGAATCTAGCAGCAGGAATGATGAACTAACAGCATGCAGGAGTACAAGTACTAAACCCTAATTGGGTTGTACCCCATATGGGCTACCCCACTACAGCCTAGACAATATGCAGCATATATGTTTGACACACCCCCATAGGCAAAGTGGGGGAGAACAAGGGGTCACACGACCAGTCAAGAGACGCAAAGCAAGCTCAGGGTGGATCTCAACGTCACCACACATTCTGAGCACAAGCAAAGGGCCGCAAGGCCAGTCCACATGCAGAGATATATATAAGCAACAAGAGCAGTACAGTGATCAATACCTAGCAAGAGCAAGCATGCAGGCATAAATATAGAGCACAGTACGTGCAAAAGACTACAGCAAGTGTGGAAACGTAGGCACAAGGCCTAACAAAGTACAAAAGCGCTGATGATCACCAGACGGAAGTGCCTTGGTGAATATATCAGCAGTGTTGGCCCGAGTGGCCACGTGAGCAAGACGAAGCTGACCACGCTGCTGCAACTCTCGAGCCAGGAAGTAACGTAGAGCGATGTGCTTCGTTCTGTGCTCCAGTCTGTGCTCCTCACACAAGGCAATGGCAGCCTTGTTGTCGACGTACAGAACTGGAGGAGAACGAGGCCGCTCTCCCAGGTCGGTCAGCAGGTAGGTGAGCCAGCGTAACTCCTGAGCAGCCATGGCGGTGGCGTAGATCTCAGCCTCACAACTGGAGCTCAGAACAGAAGACGAGCGAGTAGAACGCCAAGAAACAGAACCAGAGCCAAGGCTGAAAGTGTAACCCTGTGACGACCGCTGCGTAGCCTGGTCGTCAACCCAAGAAGCGTCTGAGTGCCCAGTGAGGACCACCTCTCGCCATCCTCCAAGCACGAGCCCCATGCCCGATGTACTGCACAAGTAGCGCAGTACCCTCTTCGCAGCATCCCAGTGCACCTTTCGGTGCCGACCAGGAGCCACGTAGCGAGCCAGAAGGCCAAGAGGGTACGCAAGGTCAGGACGAGTGCAAGTCATCAGGTACATGAGGCAGCCCACTAGCTCTGGGTAAGGACCACTCGGCTCTACGGACTCATCCGAAGGCAGAGCTGAGAGCGAGTGACCTATAGCCAGAGGAGTGGCCTGTGCTGAGGACCAGGTGAAGCCGAAGCGCTGAAGGACCTGCTGCACCATGTGTGACTGAGTCAGTGTGATGGTGCGGCGTGCTCGGTCCCGGGTGATCTGCAAGCCAAGGTAGCTGCGCAGCTCACCCAGGTCTGTGCACGTGTGTCTCTTCTACAGCTCGGACTTCACCAGGGCGAGGGCCTCAGTGTCAGCAGTAGCAAAGACCAAGTCGTCGACGTACACGAGGATATAGAACGGCGGCAGCGAAGTGTCGGTGCGTAGAAACAGTGAAGGGTCAGCAGTCGAAGGCGCAAACCCAAGAGCCGCAAGGGTAGTCCTCAGTGTGTCGTGCCACTCACGGGGTGCCTGGCGGAGACCGTAGACTGGCCGGCGGAGGCTCCACTGGGTACCAGGAGGGAACGACCCAGTGAAGCCAGGTGGGCGGCGCAGCCAGATCTCCTCGTGCAGGCTGCCCTGTAGGAAAGCTGTGCTGAAGTCAAGGGAGTGAAGCTCGTAGTCATGCTGAGCGGCAACGTGCAGCAGCACCCGAAGAGTAGTCATCTTCGGGGTAGGGGAGAAGGTCTGGAAGAAGTCAACTCCCTCTCGCTGACTGAAGCCTCGAGCAACGTAACGCGCCTTGAAGACAGGCGGAGAACCCGGCGGCCGCTTCACCCTGAAAATCCACATGCCATCGACGATGTTCGCCCCGGGAGGGGGAACCTCATCGACGTAAGTGCCTGTGGACTTCCAGGATGCCATCTCTGCGTCCATGGCTGCCTGCCACTGAGAGGAGTAGGGACCCGCGATCGCCTCAGCGTAAGAGCGCGGTGTGGGGATGTCTATAGCATCCGGGTCTCCCTCAGGGGCAAGCAGCATGGCCACGAGATGAGGCGCAGCGGCTGCAAGACACTCAAGGTCCTCGTGCCTGTCCTCAAGGACGTCCGTGCCAAGGGCACACTCACCCCCGACGAACGGAGGACAGACAGACTCAGACTCAGCAACAAGACTAGCAGCGTAGTCTAGACGACAGGCAGCAGCAAAGTCAACAAGCTCAGCGACCAGGGCAGACGCAGCAGCAGACTCAAACGACGGGTCAGTGACAACAGTGGCTAGCAGACGCGTGACAGTAGGGTGCTTAGCACGAAACCGGTCAGACTCAGGGTCCGCGACGTCAGGCAAAGAGGACGCAGGGGGAGACGGAAGAGGAGTACGCTCCGGAGTAGGGGACCGACGCAGGGCTACAAGGCGTGTGCCGGGGACAGCCGGCTGACGCGAACGAGGAACACGACGACCGGTACGACTAGGACCAACAGGCGAGACAGGACGCGACGCAGGCTCACGACGCTCAGCAAGACTACCTGTCTGCTCAGTGTAAGGAGAAGGAGCAGGCAGCGGTGAGCCAGGCTGTAACGGAAGACCAGTAGACGATGGGAGAGTAAGAACCTGACGAAGAACAGAGTCAGGCGGCGGCAGAGACGACGGAGACGGCGGAGCGAAGAACAGTCGTGTCGGCGCAGCTGCACCAGTACCGGCAGCTCCAGCAGCTCCAGTACCTCCAGCAGCTCCAGCACCTCCAGCAGCTCCAGAAGCTCCAGCCCCAGAACCGACACCTCCAGGCCCAGGGTCTCCAACCTCAGTGTCTCCAGCAGCAGCACCCCTAGAACCAGCACCTCCAGTCCCAGGGTCTCCAGCCTCGGTGTCTCCAGCAGCAGCACCTCCAGACGCAGCACCCCCAGCCCCAGCAGCTCCAGTACCTCCAGTACGAGCACCTCCGGAACCAGCGACTCCAGCACCTCCAGTAGACAAAGTACCAGCACCACTCCTAGCTCCAGGGACGTCAGCAGAAGTACCTCCAGCAGCAGAGCCCCGGGCTCCAGCAGCGCGACCCTGACGGCGACCGTACCAGTCGTGCAGCTGCTGCGAGGTGAGAGGCACACGTGGACGAAGGCGGCTACTCCAAGGAGACCGCGCAACAGCAGACTCAGAACCCTCAGCACCAGCACTCCAAACTGCTCCAGAACCTCCTGCGCCAGCACCCTCAGCACCAGTACCTCCAGCAGCTCCAGAACCTCCAGCGCCAGCACCCTCAGCAGCTCCAGAACCTCCAGCTCCAGCGCTACCAGGACCAGGCCCTCGAGCAGCTCCAGAACCTCCGGCGCCAGCACCCTCAGCAGCTCCAGAACCCCCAGTGTCAGTACCCTCAGCAGCTCCAGAACCTCCAGCAGCGCGGCCCTGACGGCCAAGGTACCACTCAACCAGCTGCAGGGAGGAGAGGGGGAGTGGACGACGAGAGGGCAGCGGCGAGGCACCAGCGGAGCGACTACGGAGACGGCCACTCCAGGGAGACAGCTCACCAGACGCCTCAGCAACCCCAGGTGCAGCACCCCCAGACTCAGTACTGCCAAGCTCAGCACCTCCAGGCCCCACACCCTCAAGCTCCGCACCCCCAGGCTCAGTACCCCCAGGCTCAGCACCCCCAGGCTCAGCACCCCCAGAAGTAGCACCCCGAGCAGGACCTGAGTCACTAGTGACCTCAACCGGCGCAGTCAAGGGAGGAGGGTCTACCTGAGACACACCTGAAGGAGCAGGACCGGGAGCGGGGAGGGGGTCTACCTGGGGAGAACCTGGAGCGAGGAAGAGCGGCGGGGGGGGGGAGCGGGGCAGTGCGGTAGGGGAAGAGACGGTAAAAGGGAACCGACTCGTCGAACGTGACGTCCTGAGACGCAAAGACACGACGCGAGGTGGGATGGTAAAACTGCCAACCAGGCGCGTCAGGGACAAAGCCAAGGAAGACACAGGGGACAGCGCGGGCAGAGAGCTTGTCCGCAGTGGTATCGCGGACAAAGGCACGAGCACCCCAGACCCGGAAACGCGACGCATCGCCCACCTTCCCCGTCCACAGCAGTGTGGGCAAGGTCTCCGGCAAGGAGACACGGGGCCAGAGGTTGAGCTGATGCGCGACGTACCGGACCGCAAACGGCCACAGAAAATGGGGGGCAGCCGCATGGATCATGGAGGTACGAGCGACCTCCATGACTAAGCCAATGCGGCGCTCAGCAACCCCATTCTGCTGCGGAGAGGCCGGAAGCGTGAACGACTGGGTGATGCCGTGCTCCGCACAGTAGGCTGCCAAGAGGTCTGAGGTGAACTCACCGCCTCTGTCAGAGTGCAGACGCAGGACAGAAAAGTCCCGCTGGAACCGCTCGCGGAGCTGGAGACGAACAGCGCGGATCCAAGGGATCAAAACATCAGGGACGTCCCCCTTGCTGCGCAAGGGGAAGACCGTGGTGTAACGCGTGTAGTCGTCGACGACCAGCAGGAAGTACCGCTCGTGGCCCTGTCCACGAACGCGGGCTGGGCCCCACACGTCCAGGTGGAGAGTCTGCAGAGGAGCCTCTGTGGGAGGGAACGAGGAGGAGTGAGGAGCGGCGCGTTGCCGCCCCTCGACGCAAGGAATGCAGGGCGGCGCAGGCGAGGGAGGTAGGGCAGGCAGAG